GCTTTCCGTTTTAGAAAATTATGTACAAAAGTTCTGCGCAGAATAACAAAAATCATTTTATTTTCACTTCTCTCAGTGAGTTTACTTGATATCTGATCAAGCAAGAAGAATTTCTATTGCAAACGAGTTCTTCTAAGGAATCATAATACACAATCATCAACTTTCCCTGTTTTCTCAACTTAGTCAAGTCGCATTCTGTTTGTATGAATCAGAGATTCGTTACGTTTGCAGCAGCAAAAAAATGCATTCATACGTGTATATCTTTTTCTCGTTTTCACTTTCAGTCATCATGTGATCATTATGATTTAAATCGATATTCGCGCGCGTACAAGATGAATGTATTTTAATTGTTTACGGCAACAAAGAGAGAAGTCGGTTCAATTTTAGGCCCTGCAAATATTCATCTTCTTTGTCTTCTTCCTTTGACTTTTTTTCTTCTACTTCTGTGTCTCTTTCTCTGTCTTTCTTTCTGTCTTTCCTCTTTATCTCTTTCATTCTCTCTATCACGCTCTCATAAATAAGAGTACGTTCGGCATTGCTTATATTCTACCAAATGTTTGTTGTCTGAACGATCGAAACATGTACATACTATCGCCTAGAAAAAAAACCCTAAAAAACGGGAGGGAAATTTGCGTCTGTTTGAATTTTTAGCCGGCAGTATCGATATGATGACGGTACGGATGATACAGTAACATTGGCGAAATAATCTGAATAAACGCGTTAAAGCGAAAATTTATAACCCGTTCTCCGTAAAGAGCACTTGTACAACGCATTGCGTATATTTAGGCAATACTAAATTCAATACGTGAGGCTGCTCATCGGAAAAAAGTAATAAACAAATTATCGAACGAACTGATTGGCAATATTAGTTCAAAATCTTATTGATGAGATCACTATAACTAAGAATAACATGTAGTTACAATGGTGAGTAAAATTGAATGGAAATTGAAAATGCATTTCTCCACGAAATTGTTGATAATCGGCATTTTTTTAAGAACACTTAATTGTTTTCTAATATAAGAAAATTAAGGGATATTAGAGTTAAATCAAACATGAAGTGTGTAAAATGAAAAAAATAAAAATTAAGAAAAAACAATCTCTTTACGTTTCAGATATACTTTTCTTTGTCATCTCTATTCACTCGATGATAAGTAATGTATTGTTGTTTGATTTTTCACTTTCTTTTTTTAAATATCTTTTTTTAAATACTTTTCTTTATTTATGTCCACCGGTATTTTACTGCTCTTTATGATCCTTTTTTATTTAGATTTTAATAAATACATTTTTGATTATACATATTATAATCTATGAAGATTAACACAAAAAATTATCTGTTACACGGAACAATAAATAATTAATATCTCCGATTTTTTTCTTTGAACATGTGTGCGTTAAAGTGACAAAAGTCGCAGAAATATTATAGTCTATAGAGGATTCCGCGTAATATATTATTTTTATGACACATCCCGTTAATCCCATTGCCATCAGAACAATTGTCGGAAACAACAGCGACGATGTATACTTCTTCCTTGCTAAACAACCCATTTGCTAAGAGTAGAGAGACTCAGCTCGATCAATTAGTTTTTTGTTGCTTTGTAATCAATTTGTGTTGTTTTTTATGTTCGAATAATCTATATATTCTCCAAGACACATTTAAATATTTTGCGCGTGATCTTCCGATGGGCAATAACTATTGCCATTTTCGTGACGATCAATGTAGGAAGACAAACGATGAACACCTATTCTTGTCGAATGGACAGCTAAACAGCAAAAAACCGCCTTTGCTTGCAACATGAATATTTCGCTTGCGGGAGAGTCCGATGGGTTATCGTTTGCCAAAGATACGAGCTAATGAAAAATTACGAGCTAGCTGTTATGCGCGTAACAACTTCCGGTGTACCAAAAACCAGAAATTCGTCTTGTCATAATATCGGAGTTTTACTGAGTGGTACGAGAATCGTACGATGTACACTCGAGAATATTGTACTGAATATTTTGCTTTTTTTTAATATATATGGAACGTTACATAAGTGTTTGAACGTTTTGCACTTGTTATTAGATAGACAAAGTAAAACTAATATATTTTCACTTTACTAAATCGTATGTGTCAGGATTTGTACAAATTCAACATATGTTGTTATTATGATATTACAATTTCACACTTATCATTGCAAATACATTCAATAATATCTAACATATTTGATTTTCTATAAAGACAAAAAAACAACGAACAACTATAAACTATATAAAAATAAAAACTGAGTGCACTTTAAATAAATACAAAAATTTTCTGTCACATAGTTTCTTTCATACATATAATATCTTTTTATTCTATCTCGTATTCGATTATTGATTTTCTGAAAAGAAAACAAGTTCCTGAAAATAAAACAGTCTAGAATCGATCTGGTTTAGGACAATCACAGTAATCAGAGCGTACTCTAATCAAGCTGAGTGTCAAAAAGAAAGTAAAAACTATGTATTTCTCATTAACGACATTTTATTCTACCAATTACAAATAATTCTACCGTATTTTATTCAACAAACACAAGTTGAATTTTCCGTTCGCATATTCCCTACAATAGACGAATATATTNATAACGTCGTTTATGCGCAATATTTTTTTCATACAAACAATAGTTGTAATTTAGCTAGAAAAATGTAAAAAAAAAGAAAAAACGCAAAATGATATATGCATCGTGAGAGAGTACACAATATTTATACTAAAAAAGCTCATTGTGTTACACAAGAAGAATAAGTACTCTGAAGTACAAATGGGCATTGCAAACGTGTTTTTCTCTAAGTAATAGATTAGTCAGAAAAAGTAAAAAGAAAAAGATAAGTGTGCGTATGAGAACGAAACAAAAGTTCGAAAAGAGGTCGATCGGTGAATCCTCGTTTGGCGGCATGTTCCTCAATTTTTCAGAAACTTTCCGTCGATATTAGATGTGTGTGAATACAAATGGGTACCGGCCGAATCGTTAAAAGTTAATGATCAAACACACGCTATTGAACAAATTAGAAAGAAAACAAAATCGAACCGAAAAAAGAGCGAAACACATGAGTGTGAAAATTCTCGTACACCTTATAAAGCGAAAAATATCACAAAGAAGCTAAAAAAACTGACGAAACAAAGCTCGACGTTTTTATATTTAAAAAATAAAAAAGCAAAACTTTAGCTACATCAAACGCGGAAGATAGGCCTACGAAATTGACGGTCAGTAGTCGAAAGAAAACAAAAGAAACAAAAACAGAAGAAAGGGAAATTAAAAAAGATAATATGCAAGGAAGGAAGCATTTCCTTTTGCTCTCTCTAAAATAGGAAACAGGGCACAGGACTCTTCGCCGTCGCAGGAACGGTCGCAGACGAGCTGAGGAGATATGAGACACCGTGAGCCAAACTGCATGCGTTCTCTTTATCGCTAACAGAGATTGTGTAGATGAGCGAGATATTACCGGCATTTGATACAGTTACATCCGGTAGGTTCTTGATGTTTGCTTTTGCATGGCTTTTAACTTCCCTTTGGCTGTTGTGCAATATATAAAAATGTTTGATGACAAATCAGTCTTTGATGCCTGCCAGTATGTCGATGCTTATTGTGAGATGCATGGAATGCTTTTTGATAGAAAAGTGTCCTCGGAAAGAAAAGCAAATATTTTAATATTACAGAGACAGGAAACTTCTTCCCGGGACGCTCTTCGCCGTCGCTGCAATGACATATTTTCTGTTTTCTATATTTTGACACACATAATACAATCAGTTGATAAGTAGTCGTTACATATTGACGCGTATACGTCGCTTGCCCAAATGCAAGATGATAAAATGACAGTTTTTTACATTTAGTTAGATGCGCCAATTCGATCCGTCGACTTATCGACGTTTATGATTTTTTATTTCAAAAAGAAGATTAATATCCTGCAGATGTGGATAAATGATCGTAAATATTATAGACTTTGTTAATCCTTTAGTTGTAATAATTATTAAATAATGTAGTTGTAATAATTATATTAAATTGAAACAGTTTTTTTTTCAATAAAAGAATTTAAATACTTAAAATATACAATTAATGATTTTTATGTATATATTTTATACATATTTTCATATATATGCTTTGCTAAATGAAATAAAATATGTATAGCAAATGTAATAATATTTTATAATTAACTCAAAAGAGTTTAAAAAAATGTGCAATTGTGTTAATTGCATGAACAACATCCGATCTAAGAAAACATAGTTTTTTATATGAAATAAAGAGTCGAAATCCATATCTGTGTATCTCAACGATCATTTATATACTTATGTATACAATAAGAACGATAAAAACGTTCAAAATTTAATCGTTCTAAACGTTCAAAAACTAATTTTGTATTGCGCATTTCAAACAATAGCACTTGTCTAGCTAGAAAGAAATTCTCTTTGTACAAAACGTATAAATAACTGCTTTTTATAGAGCTGCGAGATTATTATTATTATTATTATTATATATTATTATTCTTGAACATAGATAGAAAAAGAAAAACAATTATACGGCGAATAAAGTTGTTCTTATATTTCTTTTATTGAAGTAATATTACGATACCGAAATTTGTTTGCTTGAGAAAACTGAAGTACTTGAAGTATTATATTTCAGTAAAGATGTGTGTAAAGAAGTAAATATCAGGATCTTTTCACATCTTAAATATAGAGCCTCTGTTCATATTTGCATAAAGCTGTCTTGTTTTTCATTTGTTAGAGAAATTAAACCACAAACTATTATTACAAACGCGTAATATCTCTCTCTTTGATTTGAAATTCGAGAGATGAGAATTTTTTGTTGGTTTTTTTCGCGTTTCGCACGTGGTTCTTCGTTTCGTGATNTACGTAATTTTATAATTGATAAGACTATCGGAATATTAAAAAGAATATTAAAGAGAAAAAAAACTTATTATGAGAAAAATAACTTATTACACTTTGCTATAGCTTGTCGCGCATTTTTAATCGTACTTTTTCTTCTTCTCTACAGGAATACTCCGTACAATTAACATTTCGGGAACAATGGTTGGATGAGAGATTGCGGTTTGATGATATACAAGGTACGTAAATAAACATTTTCGTAAACAAACATTTTTATGTTTATTTATTCCATCTCATTATGTTGTTACCAGTTGTCACTAATAATGTGCCACAATAATAAAATTACATGCGATAAAATCGCAGTAATATAGCAATCATGCAATAGCATTCATGTGTGTATGATGTCACGATAATATTAGCTTGCAGTGGTGCTTTTAAATACAGATTATTATCACAAACGTTGCACATTGAATAATTAACAAATCTAAAAGAGAGCAAATTTGTTCACATGTACACGTTTTATTTTTACTAAATGATAAAAAATATATCTTTAACAAATTATTTTTTGCGATAATAATCCGACATTTGCAGCGAGAATGCAAGATATTCTACAAACACAGAGGGCGCTTGTGAGGCTTTTTTCATAGCGCAATTATCACGCTATAAAGGGCGAATTGTAACATTTTATTCATGCGTCGTTACGCAAATTTGAGAACGGCTATTTTTATCTTTTTTCGCAAATTGCCGCTCGTTTCGTGCTTTCTGTTTGAATGAACGTTAACGAGCGATACGAGATTCGTTAACGCATGCAGCTTTTTCACAGCGGTCGCTATCCGCGTTTTGAACGTTGCAGGTAAACTTAAATATTTAACTCTGACGGAAGCTAATCGCGTCTGGATGCCAGATCTGTTCTTCGCAAACGAAAAGGAGGGTCACTTCCACAACATTATTATGCCGAACGTATACATACGCATATATCCGAATGGCGATGTTCTTTATAGTATACGGTGAGTATTATACACTAATAACGAATTGTGCAGAGTATTTGTGTGTGTAATCAGTGCGGGATTTTAATCTTTTATAGTCAGACATAGGTCTCCCAGACCCACTCAGAAAGTGCGCATTGGCGTTTCTAGAAAAAATTAGTGTTTTTTAAACGCTTATATTTAAGAAACTACTAGAGATTTTTTTAATTTGTTTTTTTTTTATCTCAGACTCGGTCTGACTAACTCATCGTCATTTTTAGATCTGACCACAAAGGGTTAAGATTAATTAAAAGATTTGATGAAATATTATTTTCAAAAAAAAAAGCTTTGCACTTTGGAGGGATCAATTTCGTTTGGTCGACATTAATAAAACAAAAATAAAATCGTCCCGCGCGTTCTCATCACTATATCGAATGTTACGAAATTCGCTTTTCTCTCTTTCTCTTGCCAATATACTGAAGATTATCTTTTCATGTGCGATGATCAAACAGACACGTTTGTTACATATCGCTATAATTGCTTTTATTTCCACGAGTCTTATATAAATCTTACAATTAGTTGCTTTTCTAACGCAGAATATCTCTGACGCTCTCCTGTCCCATGAATTTGAAACTGTATCCCTTGGATCGACAAATTTGCTCACTTCGTATGGCCAGCTGTAAGTAATTATCATTAATTCGATATTTAGTTGTAATTTCTATTTTTGTTAAAAATTTTTGATACGACGTGCGATTATAATCGCTCGCCACAAAACTTTGTATATTTACACTGAATTTGCAGTAAATATATATTAGAAATTATAAGTATATATATCTTGTTTTAAAGAAAACTTTTTTTTCTTCTAAAAAGCATTGTCAAAGCGGCGTTGTTTAGATGTAAAACATAGCGCCGAACGTTGAAAACTGTCCGCGCGCAACGTGTTTTGGCGCGGCGTCTTGTTCAGTGAGAGCAGCGAGAACTGCCGTATCGAAAGAGTTAAGCATTAACAAAATAAATATTTAATAATATTATCTTCATTTCTCTTCTCAACAGATGGATGGACGACAAACGATCTGGTCTTTCTTTGGAAAGAAGGCGATCCCGTTCAAGTGGTCAAAAACTTACACTTGCCGAGATTCACTCTAGAGAAATTTCTTACGGACTATTGCAATAGCAAAACAAATACCGGTAAGTAAACAGATATTTTTTGCGTCACAGCACAGTAGCGTATATCTGCAAATAACTCGTTACTATGAATAAAAAATGTAACAGGAGAGTACAGTTGCTTGAAAGTGGACCTATTATTCAAGAGGGAATTCAGTTACTATCTCATCCAAATCTACATCCCATGCTGCATGCTCGTTATCGTGTCCTGGGTATCCTTCTGGCTAGATCAGGCTGCTGTGCCTGCTCGGGTGTCACTAGGTAAAAATCAACGATTCAAATGAAACATGCTACCACATATATACCTGATAAAAATTTTCATTATTTATTTATTAATAATATTATTTTGATAATATTATTTTGATAATAATATATATTTTGATAATAATATATATTTTGATAATAATATTATTTTGATAATAATAAAATTTTATTAATAATAAAATAAGCTCCAAATCCGTAAATTAAAATTAAAATTAACCCAGAGAAACTAATTTACCGCACAACAATGCGGTAAATTACCGCACAACAATGCGGTAAATTAGTTCCTCTAGCTCCTTAGGTTTATTTTGATTTTACTTTACTTTATTATATATTTATTGACAAAAAGAACTGTGTTTGCTTCGCGTAGGTGTTGTCAAATATATTTTTACAAAGTAAGAAATGGATATATAAAAATTAAATAAAAATATTTTTGATATTTCAAAGTTTATACGATATATATGATATACAAATCGTTTTATGTGAATTACTGTGGTGTTTAAATAGCTAAATGTACGTTTCGAAAATCTTGTCAGTCAATGATACAAGAGTTGATGAGAAAGCCTGTATTTCTCTGTTTAGGCGTTACGACACTACTAACAATGGCTACACAGACATCAGGGATAAACGCCTCACTGCCACCAGTCTCCTACACGAAGGCCATCGACGTATGGACAGGAGTGTGCTTGACCTTCGTTTTTGGGGCTCTACTCGAATTTGCGTTGGTCAACTACGCATCGCGTAGCGACATGCATCGCGACAACATAAAGAAGCAATTCTCGCCGAGCGAAATGGAGCATTCGTCATCGATCGATCCAACGTCGGAGTTGCTCGAGCCGGACGGAACCAACTTTGCCATGGTTAGTACCATCCAAGATATAACGTTTCTTGAACGCTTTCAAACGCGCTTGAGATGCTTTCGAGATAGACGCTTAGCTTTTTCGGGCAATTTTTTCTTTTCGAGTTTGCTCGCTTCTTCGTTCTAAGATCTAATTCAATCTGCTCGTACGTTTTGTCAAATTAGGATTGAAAATTCCGAAAAGATTCTTGGCTTATTGTATAGAAAAGATCTGAAAGATGTTTGATTAGTCGAAAAATGCATAAATGCTCTTATTTCCATGATTTTCTTGATTCGGTTGCAAAAGAATTAAGAAGGAAAGAAAGAGATCGAAATTATTTCGATTAAAGAGCACGAGTAGCCAAGAATGCGAGCGAATATCTAATGGATCAATACCGTCCGAATTCTTTCAGAAGCCTCTGGTACGACATCCGGAGGATTCCATGTCGATGGATAAAATGCGGACGTGCGAAATACATATGCAACCACGGAAAAAAAACTGCTGCAGGTCGTGGCTGTCCAAGTTCCCGACAAGGTCCAAGCGCATCGACGTCATCTCTCGGATCTTCTTCCCAATCGTATTCGCTCTCTTCAACCTCGCGTACTGGTCCACGTACCTGTTTCGGGAGGAACAGGAGGGCGAGTAGGCCATGAAGAGGAAGCGCTCGGATCAACAAGGGAAGTGGCTCGCGGCCATCCTCAGCAACAGTTCCAAACACGATCGCCGCAACGTTCGCGTCCTCGTCACCGACAACCGTACCATCAGCAGAATCATCATCATCACCCACCAAATCATCATCATCACAATCATTCGCATCATCATCATAACCACCAGCATTACCATCATCAGCAGCGTCATCGTCATACCGGCAGCAATCCGTCAATACTGAGACACTCTTCGCTGCCGCGTACGTATCATCAACAGGATCATTATCAACAACAGTATCATCATCAGTCGCATCGCCATCAGCATTATCATCCGGATCGCTCGCCGTCGCCACCGCCGTCTTTTTCACCGCTCAACGACGAAGACTGTATCGCCGGTCGGTGTTCGCCGACAAGAGTATCATCGCATCATCACTCGCGTAGGAGTTCAGCGAGGTCATCGCCGTCGCCGTCGCGATGGCCTTCGCCGGCTTCTTCAGCATCGCCCATGGGAACACCGTCACGCACTATGTCGCGCGCCGTCACGCCTTCACCACCGATCACGGCGGCGGTCGCGGCGACGACGGCATCCTCTGCCTCGACAGCACCGACCACTGCAGCGGAAGTATCATTCTGGCGAAAGTGCTTGAATAAAGTGTTCAACTGTAAGCGTGCCCAGGGCAGCGCGAAGATCGACATCATCTCGCGTGTTTTGTTCCCCTTTGTGTTCTTTTTCTTTAACATTACATACTGGAGTTATTATCTGTCTCGGGGCGACGACGATATTGGTATGAAGAAGTGAGGCAGAAGAGGAAATCGTTAAACGGAGTTAAAAACGTGTACAAAAGCTCAGTGTGATTTTTCTAGTCGGAGTTTTTGAAGAATCCGACTTGAATCTTAACTTTGCATACAATCTCTCTGATCTTATACCAATTCATAACACTGTGTACCAATTATACCTCTTGAAATAATATTTTACTGACGACTTAAATGATTTCGGTAGCCTATTTGGATCCGAATATACGTGATACGTATTTACGTATTGATGTATTCGTATCCAAAAGAGTCAGTCAGTAATCGATTGAAAATTGATCAGAGAAACTTGGACATTCCTCTACTGCCCGCTTGATCATCAGGATTACTTTAGGAACAAGGACGTTAGCGACGCTCGATGGATATGTCACAATGGGAAATGATGAGGATGACGAAATACAACATATGTCGCACAATATACATATAAACAAAGATACACATGCGAACACACACACGCACACACGCACACCGTATCTTATGATCTGCTCGGAAGACCGCGTGCCACAGACTGAATTAAACGTAGTGGGCCCTGTATAGCCACGGCCTGTTAACAATTTCAAAAAAATCGCAAAGTTTATAAGTATATAAGTATAACTATATCTACGTTACACAAGATCCGCGCATCATCGAACGAGCTAGTGAGCTCATTCGTCGACGCGCTCACCGCGGATGCGTCTGTCGTTGTGAAATTAACGTCGGATAGTCTTTGGATTCGGTAAAAATTACCGTGACAAGGAAGCGCGCGCGAGGAGAGAGAGAGAGAGAGAGAGAGAGAAAATAAAAAAGGATAAGAGGGGAAGAAAGCCTTAAGATGAGGTAAGATAACGTACGACATGCATCGAGTTAAGAATGATCACTTTGTTTTTCCCGTGGAACAACAATCGCTCGTGTAAACACAGTTACTACGTGTTTATCACAGAGTGTTACGTTATTTCGTGGAGCAGAGACAAAACGATCTCACATGCATGCGGAGATTAATCGAAATGTTCAACGCTCGAAGATATTGGAAGGTACATACGTAACTGTAACGGTATCGAACGTTCCGATAATTTTCCGGGTGTATACGACAGCCTGCTGGTATGAGCTAGTAGGTTTATCAACTCTAGCGGCATCAAGTATAGACTTCAGAACTTCGGAAGTCCATGGTTTGGGTTATATGTATTTTTCTATTTATCCAGTATAATTTAAAAAAACAAAGAAACAAATGGTTGTTGTGAAATGGAAAATTGGAGGGCCAGAAAAACTCAACCATTGTAATTCAAAACTTACGTCAGTGGACTTCAGAAGCATTCTCCTGCTTCTTCATCATTAATAATGTACAAGATAAAAGATGCCTTGATATCGCTAGAGACTTAATCCTTATCCGGGCGATTTTTTTCCTGACTCGCAATAGAAAAACAGGTCTGCGAAATCTGACATAAATTGGTAAAAAATTTGAAATATTTAAAGTGAGTTGCAAAGGAAAATAGCGAACAAATAAAATCACGAGAAAAGCCTGGAAAAGGATTATAATACGGAGACACAAGTAACGAGCCGCGAGGTGACCGCGGATTTTCGCCAATACGTAGTATCAGCGAAGCGGTCGCGTCACGTGCAAATCTTATACTTCCTGTTTCCGCTGCATCGAGTCGGTCGTGATTACCTGATGTCCAGCAACACGGCTCCGGTGCTTTCATATATATTGCTCAGAAAAGATCGGCGACGCCGCGTATACAAATTTATATCCGCCGATCTATGTTGAGAAGTTGCGGTGTCGTCGACTTCGTGAACGGAACGAGGAGACGACAAAGACGCGGAACGTGCTCACAAAAAGAAAAGAAAGCAGTATGGACGATAATTGTATATTTTAAAACATGACACGGGGAGACGCTATATCTTCAAGCGCAAAACAACATAGCGCGAACGGCATATTTCGGCGAAGATGCACTTCCGTATCCGGTGATTGATCTCGAGTTCAAAAAATTGCCCGAGAAATGACTGGTTCTCAATGGATAATTGGCAATGCGGGGACAAAAAAAAGAGTTTTGCAATGTGTCCGATCGCGCATTCCCCGTTTTTCTCCCTATTTGTCGTGTACCTTCCTTTTACTTGGTGTAACCGATACTATGCGTAAGTCAGCTTTCAGCCTGAAGTAGCATCGTACTTGTGACGTCGCACATAACATATCATGCTATCTCAGCCGTGAAAGCCGACTAAAAAGAAAAGATGAGAATCTCGCGGATTCGATAATCCGCCCGCGGTCTCGACAAATATTTTAGTCTTTGCAAAACCTGTTGTATCTAGGGACAGACATTAAGCAAATTCATTTCCTTCTAATTTGTTATAATTTGTTATAAGATTAAGTTCCGTCTAGTTGATGCAATAATTCGATAAATATTATATTGATCCGAGAATTCGAACATCATTTTGAGATATTTGTGCGGATCTGTCCTCGGATACAATAAGTTTCTCCCTCCATTCCACGAAATGCAAACGGAACAGAACGCGTTCTCACGAAACATACAATCGTCGTAACACACACAAACACGCAAACACACGCACACACGCGCACACATAACGTCACTCACGATGACTGTTTTTTATAACAAATCGCCGCACTTTTTCAAAAAAAATCATAAACATATGTAAATTACGAAGGTAACGAATTTATAATTATGTCACAAAATTTAAATGAAATTAATCTGACTATCATTTAGCCACTTCTTTGATTAATCTTGGAGAGATAAAATTAAATTTTACTTCGAGCGCGAATATTATTTTCTATGAATGATAACGAAAAATGATATGTACCTGCACGATCTTGAGTTAACTCTTTCCAAGAGGAAGAGCCAGTTTTCCTTCTTCTTCCTCCTAATATAGCAATAGATTTGACATGTTGTGATACAGATTATCATTTCTCTAGAAATTCAACTTTTTTAACAATGACAAAATTTTGAATGTGTAATCTCTCGAGCCATGACTCGTAACTCGTCGAGTTTTTTACTTTGTGTTTTAAGCGATTTTGATGATAAAAGTTTTAACATAAAATCAAAAACAATTCATATTGGTCTATGCGTAGAATATCTGAACCACAAACATTGCTTTATATATAGATGTAATATAAGTTGACAAAAATAATAATAAGTATGTACATATGATTTTATTCTTTTATTGAATTTTTTCAAATGTATATTATATATATGTACATATGTAAATCTCTTTTGTATAGATTAATCTTTATAGATTAATCTTTTGTATAGATTAATCTTTATAGATTAATCTTTTGTATAGATCTATAAATTAGATCATAAACAAAACGGAGCAATCGCATCATCTCTTTAGTTTTGTATTCTATTGTTGATTTTTTTCGTTCTGAGAGAGAGAAAGAGAGAGAGAGAAAGAGAGAGAGAGAGAGAGAGGGAGAGGGAGAGGGAGAGGGAGAGGGAGAGAGAGTTATTCTGTCTTCTATTTATAGTTTGGATATAGTACGCGTAGACTGTTGTTCGCATGTAAACACTTGTGTTATGGGCTTTTACACGAGAGCAGGAGTGAGGAATACTTTATGTATATTTAGAGATGACACTCTACGTGTCTGCGTTAGAGATAGAAAGGGACACCAAGCCAGTATTTGCAAATCGATTACAAATAGATAGATTGGCGATAGAAATCGTGTATTTATCTTTGCGAAGCATTTTGACTGTATATACACATGTAGTAAACCGTGCAATATGAGAAGATGCGTGTTAATTAAATAATTATCGACCTCAATAACGTATACATTCGCGTCTGTATAAAAAGTTTAATGATGATTAAAATAATCGCGAAAAATTTTTACAAAGCAACAATAAATTAGGATGTTGTACACTATAATTTTTATGTTGTTCTTTAGCGCGCGATATAATAAAAACAAATTTCGGTGATGAAAGTCTCGTTTACAAGATATCTCTTTCGTTTTTCATCACGCGAGGAGTCACGAGAAAAGGCAATCGAGAGATTATATTATTTTTATTAGCTAAAAAATAAAATTGTGTACTAAGCGATCCCTTTTGACATGTGCGACATCTAATGCAAAACGTAGAAATTATGCGTGAAAATAGAGTGACGTGAGAAATGTTTTTTGTGCAAGAATTTTTTTCTTGAATTGACTATGTATAGATAAGTTACGTATTAAACCAAATCGTCTTTATTTCGCGACCGATCCTATCACTGATCCTTGCTTCTTTTAGAAAATTACTCTTTGCTCTTTCAAGACGAGGCTTCCAACTGTCTTAGTGATTTGATCAGTAAACTGACTGATATTTAATTATGTAGATTTTATCAAATCTCTACTGTACGCACACACTTCACTGACGTATTAATCACGTATCTCTTCAGAATCTTGGAAAACAAGAAAAACTCTTCAGTATACAGATCAAAAGTATAAGCAAAAAGAGAATTACATAATGATCGGAAGTTAGAAACGATCGTGTAAAATTTCATCCTTGTATTTGTCACTCGCTTACTCGGGGTCACTTCAGCCCAGGAGAGAGATCCGCACACCGAAGAAAAATCACATGTCTGACACACTACACACAAGAAACACACGAGTATATGATCCTCGCACGACACACGAATCCTGTTGTATCGCAAATATAATTGTAAGTGCGCCATAGAGCTCTCTCCTACGTCCACAAAAAGACACCTAAGAGGTTTAATGTTATAATTGTTATATGCATACCTTGTAATATATGTGAACGAAGCATGCAGAGTCCTGTAAACGAAATAAATCCCTCCTTTACTCCCAACTCATGCGAGGAACTTGTTTACTTACGGAAAAAACGTAAAGGAAAAATCCGAGCGCGCGCGCGCGCGCGCACACACACACACACACACACACACACACACACACACACACACACACACACACACACACACACACACACACACACACACACACACACGCACTGTGCGTGTGTCTACAAAGAAATAAATCTCGTGTTACCTGCGCACATTTACATCGTGAAGACACAGTCCGATAAAAAACTGCACTTCATCGTTAAAACATTATGATAGAACATCAATGGTATTTTTTTTTTTTTTTACAATCACAAGACGAACGGGCGAGCAAATCTGCGCGGTCTAGGCCAATACATTTTTGAGAACTGTTCAAAGCTTTTTTAATTGAGAGGCACAGTATACTGTTATACCGAATTATAATAAATACTGTAATATCTCTAAAATACCATGTAACAAAACATTCCAAAAACTTGCGTGCCTTTTTTTTAAACGAGTTGAAGTTCGTTGCCTCGAACTTTGGTCCAGGCTGCGCGATTGAATTTCTCGTAATCGTGATCGAGTTGTTCGACGTCAATTACCGTTTCGATTAAATCCCTTAAAAATGCCGCTTGTTCTGGATAAATGTCGAGAAGCAGATATTAAACGTTCCATGATAATTATAAAGATTGTCTTTCTCTGGCGAAAGTGATGGAATACTCGACTCAAGCGAGCATGCGTCGAGAACTAAAAAAAATATTGCATGTTTGTGATTTACGAGTGCACGATATAATTTACACATATACACACGTATGCACACAAAAAAAAGAAAAAGATATGTGTGTGTAATAATATAATAAATTTGTATTGTGAATAATCCGATTATAATTCAATGAAACAAAAAACGAAAGATAATTTCTCGCGTGAACTTATTAGATCGTCAATTACACCTAATATTGGATGAAAAGTAAACATTCTTCTCGAAATGTACTACGCAGCCAATGAAATGTCGGACACTCACAGAACAAATTAAACAAAATCGACGCACAGAAAACATCAGGATTGAAAAGACAAACAGAATCGGTATTCTAAAATTATGATAAGATCTTTAAGTACTATTACTGTAATTAAGGTAAAAATTAAATTAAACAGAAGACGATCGAAAAAATTTACTTTACACTGTGACTCATTTAGATTATTATTTTCCTATAGAATCAAATTTTATCAATCTTTTTTTAAACAACTAATAAAATAATATAGGTGTGCGATACGACGACATTGCTATAATAAAAAAACTTACCAAATCTTTGGTTTATGTACAATTTTTTATTATTTTATTAAATTTCATCAAAAGTTATGTATATGGTTACCGAATACATTGCAGGTAAGTGATTATTTAATATAAATAAACGATTTGAGAAGTAGATTGAATAGAAATGTTTATAAGTGAGCTAATATGCGCGTATACAAAATGATAAAGATATTAGGAGTGTATTTGTTAGATTACATCAATAAAAAAATACTGCACATTAAATATTATTATTTTTAATATTTATTTTAATAATCCAAATGTATATATAGACGCAATATATATGGAATATACAATTACAAATAAACACGCCCACTAAACGTCTAAAATTTACAATTTATAAATATATTACTAGCTAAACACTTTCACATTGGAAGTTCAATTTGCTGAATTTGTTTAATGACTGGACTCATTCGTATCAACTTACAACTGCAATACAGTGTATATTTAAGGAGTATTATAAAAACATATAAACGGTTTTTTATTATCCTGCGTTATCTAATTTAAAAACTAATGTGTAGTGATTACACTTAAGGCTTCTAGATATGCGTTGCAGCAATTTCACAAAATGATATCAGAAGTGAGAAAATATACTCTTAAAATTCTTCTGATGTCACTTTCCAAGATAACCGCAGTGAGTATCCAAGCGCTTTCAAAGGAAGTAATAACATGAAGAGAAAAGATGCAAACAGAAGTAAGAGATGTGGTAGTTGTACATCTAAATCTAGAGAGAGACACGCAATCACGCGAAGTATTTTACAGCAACGCGAATCGCGGCTCTATATTCTATCGCCTTATTCTGATAATGTATAAGTAGCTATTAAAATACGTTTTATACTAATCTGAATATGCTTTAATGATGTATTTTCTTCGTATAAGCCAGCGTAAGAATTTGTTTAGATGTAGTCAGTATACTAAAACTGACAGAGATTCGTGCAAAATGTAAATGTTACGCATATATCTTCTTTCTTAGCTTAATATGAAACTCAATGAACCGTACACTTCTTTCTTTGTGCACATCAATATCATAGATAATAACTATAAAGTGCTCCTTTCTTCTAGACAGCACGTGTCAAATGATAAAAAAAACAATCGAAAAAGAGAATCAACAAACTCTTTCTTTTTCTTATTTGTAAATTTGGAAAGAATAAAAGAGTATAAAATAAGAGAATAGAAATTAATTATTGAAATGATTAATTTCATGCAAACATTTTTTTTTAATTATACAAGACACTTCAAACTTTATCGATTTTAATTATTTAGTAACTGAAAAGACTGGATTATTTTTTTTGTAATTTTTTTTTAACCTGCATCGCGTTGAAAAAAGAACGAATAGTTTATACTGCTTGACTTGCGCAAATTGTATAAAACAGCTCTTGCATTACAAAAGATATAATCTTTGTTTCTTGGTATGTCGTAGAAAAAAGCATATTTCATTTCTTCCTTCCTTTTTCTTCTCCTTTTCTCTCTCTTTTTACTCCAAGCAATCTTTGACTTTTGTTTGTAAAAACTATGATTCATTCAGAACGATTTATATGAGCAAGCTTAAGTTTTTGTTATTCTTCTGTATATATTTTTATAGACTAATTACGGTAAATTACATATATATACTTTTTTAGACACCCTGTATATACATACAAAGTAAGTTTGATCAAAAAGCATGTTTTTCTCGAAAACGGCTAGAAATAAGAATAGACATTTATTATACTAATTGTAGGACATTAAGGAAAACGTACTATAATAACCTTAATTATTTTTTCACATTACCAATAAAAACTATTTTAATTAGAATGAGGTACTTTTACTCTATCGATAGTACTCAATAATAATTAATAACTTTTATATTATTGTCTAAAAACTCAACTGTTGTCGAAATATAAACAAAATTAGTCAAACTAAAAAATATTAAACAATCTTTTTACTATTACAATTAAAGCTCAAAATGTTCATTATTATTCTAGATTTGTACTCTTTGTGGGTGCTTGCTTGGATAGAAAAAAAAGAGCTAGCTTATTTTCAATGTCCTATCACTTGAGAAAACATGATAGAAAGAATAAACAATATTTTTTGCAAAATAACCGTTCAAGAGTTAAAAGAAATCCAAGCAAGCTTTTCACTAAGACTACAGTTACGTCTGGAATAACAGTAAACATTTTAAGTACTTATTATAATAGTAAAAAGATTTGTTCTATATTTTGATTTTTTAATTTTGTTTATATCTCGATAAAGGTTGAGTGTTTTGAAAAATATTTTAATATAAAAGTTATTAAGCTCATTGAATATTATCAAAATAACTCAAAAGTATCCCATTTCATGGAAAAAAAATTTTTGTTTTTGATTGATAATGTAAAAAAAATATTTAAAATCACTATATTCTCCTTAATCCTATAATTTTGATAATAAAATGTATTCCCCTATCTCTAACCGTTTTTGAGAAAAACTAAACTTTTTATCAAACTTACCCTATATATACACCTACGAGAGCACTTGTATGCAAAGATGTGTTTACACTAACAGTATACTTGTACGTATTATTTGTTGCGACAAAGATACAAATAATACATTCCAACAAAGTTAACATAAATAATACGTTTCGTTGAAATAGAATTTCAACAATCGTTTCTTCCGTATTTTGGACGTGAAACAATATATTACCTGCATTAATGCACATATTCTTTACTTTCGGAGCTGGAAGATCATCTTTCGCTACTCCAATAACTCTTGCCAATAATTTCTGAAAAGAAACAAGATTTTGTTAACAACATTTGTTCTACGACATTAATATTATTTCACATTGATTAACGATTTACCATTACGATTACTGATGGGACTACGACTTCGCGAATAACTACGACTGTAAGTTCGTCGACTGCCACGACCATTTCGTTCTCTGCTATGAGTTCGACTTCTACTTCGCGTGTAACTGCGTTCTTTTCCGTTGCGACCGCCGCCGCCGCCGCCGCCGCCGCCGCCGCCGCCGCCACCACGTGAACGCCATCGATTTCTGCCACCTATTATCCATCAATTTATCATAATTTATATAATAGTAAACACATTTATTTATTGCTCTAGTTATAAAAACATTATCAAATAAACATATATACATTTTTAAATTATCTATGCAATTATCTATTTTTTGATAATTTTTTTACCTCGATGTCTTGCATATCCTCCGGTTTTGTCGGCAAGTTCCAGCAATTTCGGGTTGATTACCTGGTTTGCTTCCTTTAGTACTTGTATCAGATCATTAGCTTTGTTGGCATTATTAGGCGTAAAGAACGTATAAGCTGTGCCGGTTTTTTGTCGGCGACCGGTACGACCGATACGATGAACGTAATCCTCGGAACAGGAAGGATAGTCAAAATTGATGACAAACTTGACGTCTTCAACGTCTGAAAGTAAGAATTAGCATTAATAAACTGACTTTTTGTGGGATGTCAAGGACTTGGATTAATACAGATAATGTCGCGAAGATTGTGAAACACCGTGAGTATATCACAGTAAAATATTTTACCAGACAATTTTACAATAAAATATCCGACGTAACATGATTTTTAAAGAATTTATATAAAAATTCGAGTTATAGTGTTTTATAACAAAAACTAAAAAATCTTAATATAAAAAAATTCTAGAAAAACTAGTGAGTATTTGTGTATACACATATACATATATATGTACAGGATGTCCGAAAAATCGCCCGCAATACTTCGGAAAGTGATTGGGAATCCAAAAAAAAAAAAAAAAAAAAAAAAAAAAAAAAAAAAAAAATTGTTTTCGAGGTATCGCTATTTGTATGGTAAAATTGCTGTATTATGTTAAAAAAATCGTAATTTGTTTTTTATAATCATAATTTATCTTATTGTTTTAAGATTAATAAACCTCATTTTGAACTATTTTGATAGAAG